ATCCATCCAAACTTGTGAAATTGGGTGTGAAATGAAGTCATATACCACCGAGGGAGCCATTTGGAAATGCAGTGTAAAAAATTGCCACAAAAAGAACTTTCGCCACTTCAAAAATCAGTGTAATAACCGACGTACTGCCAATTTATAGTCATTTAAACAGTAAATTACAACTTTTTTAAAAAAACATTTCTGTTAAAATTCCATCATTTAAAAGCGCTGTTTTCTAGGGGATGACGCCTAAACCTGGCATCATTTTTTTTCCCTTGGCACTTTGGCTTTACCGCCGAAAGAACAAAGCCTTGGTATTGTAATCATGACGTCACTAGTAGCAGATAAAGGAAAGAATGTACTCGCAGCTTGTCAGTGCTAAATCAGAAATGAGATCGTTGGCGCTGGTTAACAAGCCCCCGCTCCAATATCGAAGTGAACAGTTTATAACTGAGCATGTTTCCTTTTACATTATTGAATTTAAGACATGTGGGGTTCTACCCATTTACTTTAAATGTGTAATGTTAAATGTGTAAATGTGTAGGAACCTAGTGAACCTAAATGTGTTAAATGTGTAGGCATCTAGTGAACACCTAAGCGAATAATCGCTTCAGGAACATAGACATAGACTCGAGAAGGTTTAATTACCCTTTATTGCTTAAAATAAGAGTTAACAGATGGACCCTTTCTCAGAGCGTACAGCAAAGCCTCCACTTGCGCTTGAACTCAAAATAATATGAAATAAGAACTTAACTAAAGAGATAGAGCCGAACCTATCAAAATTTTAAATAGTTGGACGCTAAATATCGAATAAGCTAGCAAAGCTATCAAGGGTCTGTAATACGGCCTAGCGTAGTAACAGCTTAGAAAGACGTAGCCAACAGGCAAGCACGCGCTAGTCAGAAACTCTGAGGCTGTCTCTCGAAGTCAGTGCAACTTCGACTTAAATACTACTCTTACTCATTTGCATTAAACGCGATTCTTAAAACCTCATTCTGGTAGGAAATTTTAAGCTAAAATCAGGATGGTCAGAAAAGTAGCTTTAACTAAAAATACCTGTAACAAATTTAGGATAAACCTTGCAGACATTTACTGAATTTCGTCTAATGAATTAACATAAATTCGCTGTTAAAGTTTAGGTTGCTTGAAGTAATTGGTCTTTGTGACAACACTTGTATTGGATATTATTGCATTAGTCATCAAACATTATTTATTCAAAATATTCCAGTTTTCAGCGTAATAAATAGTAACTACACTTAATAATTTTAATATAATTTATGCAGTTTTGAATTTTAAGTTCTAATCAACAGCAGCAGAAATAAGGCCTTGTCCTTTTAATGATGAAGACTCTAGTTGCCAGTAAAATTGACAAGCATTACCATAATACAGTTTGTTCGGAAACGTATTCAACTTTACTAATTAATGTCTTTAAAATTATATAAAAATTATATAAAGTTCTGATTATTTATTGTTAACTTTCTTTTATTGTAGTCTTTATCAATGTCTATAATAGACAGTAAATGCAAAATCATATTAGAAAAAAACAAATTTGATTGGGATTAAAGCGACTTTTTCGTAAACGACCTGTTTTTATCTTCAAAAAAGTATTCGACTCTGGCCATTCATAGGTCGTTTGAAAGGTTACAAAGTTTTAATTAACACTTGAAGAAATCCTTAAAAGTTACATATGTCATGAGTATTGCCTTAAGGGTTATTTGAAACTTTTGTGCTTGAATCATATCCATTTCTGCAATTTTAACCAGAAAATTTAAAAATGTCTCGGAAAGGAAAAGAAACTCTTTTTTTTAATAGTGGTCACTAGCCGTTATAGGTTTTGGCCACTACTAAGATTAGAAGTGGTGGTCCTTTTATTATGGAGGCAACTTATAGGTGAACCACCGTTACCTCTTATGAGAGGACCGACAATTGGCATCCAATGCTTTTTCCAGGATTCGAACGTGCGCCCTTCGGTACAGTAATCAGAAACATTAACCACTTTCCCATCTGGAAGACAGGAAAAGACGCTACGATTGAAGAAACGAAAATTATACTTAATATGAGGAAATCTGGAGAAGCATATGAGAAAATTGCTTAACAAGTTGACGACGGCGCGGATATTCATTGTCATTTTCCTGCGGCGGCGCAGCGCCAAATTATGAAATCAAAATTTTAAATAAAAAAATTTAATTAAATTAAAATTATAAATTATAAAATTAAATTATTATATTTTATAATACAATATAAGAATTGTATTTTTTTTATATACGAGCGTGACCCATCGGTGAATCATGCCGGCCTGCGGAACAATCAAGCATGACCCACCGGTGGGTCATGCCGTCCTACGGAACAGACAAGTATGACCCACCGGTGGTTCAGGCCGCCCCATGGAACAGACAAGTATGATCCACCGGTAGGTGAGGCCGGCATCAACGTGTTAAACTATTAAAAGACCACTATGAACTGTAAAATACATAGTAAAAAATCTGTTAAGTGGTATAAACAGATTTTGCAAGCAAGACAAAAAAGTTGACCAAGTATGATAAACGGTATCATTTATAACAAGTTAAAAAAGATCTGACATTAAGTGGTCCAAAACTGAGAGAAATGATTAAGAAAGAAGTTTATACCCAAACTGTAAGTAATACTCTTGAAGAATTTGGTTATAAATTATGATCAGCTCGGAAAAAATATTACGTATCTGAAATGAATAGAAAGAAAAGACTACCATTTGCGAAAAAATATGTAAATGAGCCCCTATACTTTTGAGAAAAGTTATATTTAGCGATAAAATAAGTATAACTTATTTGGACCAGAAGGTCTGTAAGTAAGGTAGCAAGGTCTGGAGACAACCAAACACAGAATTTGAACTGAGAAATCTCCGACCAACAGCAAAGCATGGTGGACGTTCCGTTATAGTCTGGAGATGCATGTGACATGCAGTAGTAAGGAAACTACATTTTAATGATGGCATGATGGACCTTAAGGTGTATGTTAACATTCTGAAAACAAATTTATATGCCAGTGCTCAATTTATAGGATTATGGACAGATTTTGTATGTATGCAGGATAATGATCCGAAGCATAAAGCGCTAAAAACCGGACTTGGCTGGTGTACAGCGCACCAAAGTACTTGAAATGCCCCCACAATCACCAAATATAAATTCAGTCGAGCATTCATGGGAAGATTTAGGTCGAAGAATCAGAAATAAAGGTAATTCAAACAAGAAGAAGCTAAAGCAACGTTTAGAGGAAGAATTGGTATAAAATACAATTTGACTGCACCCAAAAAATCAGTTGTAAGCACGCCATTTAGACTAAAAGTCATTATAAAAGTCTAAAGTACATCCTATAAACTATTAATTATTATATAAATCATTTTTTGTTCCCAATTTAGAAAAAAAGGAGAATACCTTTTTGACCCACGCTATGGAATCTGTTTTTTCCCCCTTTTTTATGATAGAATAAATTTATTTAATTTGAAAATGTGCCTGAGGCATTTTTTCGTTTTCTGTAATTTTTACATTGCGCAAATAAAATTTTCAGCTGATTGCTTAATATTTTCAATGATGCATTGTTTTGATAATCATCAAACAAAGATTATTTGAGGGCAATTTTTTATCTTAACAGCCAACTGGAAAGTAGTGTGGCTTACTTTTAATAGCATGTTGACGATTGTAAAACTGTTTATAAGATTCAGCGGCGAACAGCAGTTAAAATAGATACAATAAATATCCAAAATATATCTACAATTCTTTAAGTATGAAAAAAAAATTAAGTGATGAAGATGAATGTGTTTACATGATTATATGTAACAAAATTAAATAGAAATTTTTGAACTTGCTATTTTTTAAACTTCACGGACCAGTGGAATCTGAGAATAGCAGTCACTGCCACTAGTTTGATTTTGGTTTGTTTAATTATGGCAAAGCATTCAAGGGCTAGAATGACTTCGTGGAGGACTTTCTAACAATCATTACTATTCTCAGAGACTCTAGTCTTACACTATGAGAGGAAACCTTTCTTTAAAACGAATTTACTATAAGTTATACCTAAATATCTAAAATAATGTGATGTGAAATCCAATTTTCAAATTAATATAATTAACCCCTTAATCTATAATGACGAGCATAGCCCGCGTACGATGGTCGGGCCAAACCTAACTTTCACGGGCATAGCCGCGTACGGTGATCGGGCCAGAAGTGATTATTACGTGGAATATTTGACACGAATTACAGTCTGACAATATGTGGTAACGCAAGTATTACAAGATGTTTTTTATACAAAAACTCCAAAATACAAATAGTGATCTGTACGATAGATATATTTCAAAGCATTCTGGTACATGTAACGGAATTTACACAATTTACACTCGTGTTTATGTGATTTCTCGTGCTTGATCTGCATACTGATTCGTTTCGGTTACAATATTGTTCCAAAATGTCATCAATATTAGATTAAATATCAATTCTCCTACTTCCTCTTATTGACATAAGGCTTCCTCTCTTATGCCAGAAGTCATCGTATAGTCCCAGATTTTTGGATTATTTCTTATTTCTTTCCAAAGCCAGGTCTCTGGTAGTTGATCGTCATCGGATGTATCATCAATAATTATTCGCCTATACTTTCTTCGAAAATTACATAATTCGCCATGTTTACGATTGCCCGGATTAGCTTTTTACACAAGTCGTGCAAATGTCCCGAACGCTGCGCGAGCTTGTATACAATTTCGGCACAACATCTTCGAATCTAAATCGTAGGTTAAGGGGTTAATTCAAAATTAGATAGAAGATATGTTGTTAAATAGTTATTCAGAATTCTTACTTTATAAAATACATGTTCATGTTGATTATTTATATTTCTACTATTGTTAATCCTAAGGCTTTTAAAAATTAGCCCGTGAGAATGAATAATATACTATTCAGATTCTATTCTGTATCAGTTCAAATTAAGCGTTTAATACTATTCATGAAAAGAAAATGCTCGATTGTAATACAACTGCTCTCTCTTTTCAGTGATGTATCCCATCATCCACTACGCAGAGGTATGTCCGAACGGTAACAAGCCCCCCATGTCTCTACAGGACCCGATGGCTCTCGGCCAAGAATTCACCTTGCAGCAAGGTTTGTATCCGAAATGGTCATAATTACCTTGCGGGAAGCGTAAATTATCTGACAATAAAATTAATCTAAAGACAGTTTTCAAAATAGAAAGTAGTTTAATCCCTAATTAACGTCATCTGCTGGGTTTTGTGCAAAAGTTAACTTATTTGCAGGTGCCGAATTTTACCAATTTCCCATTTATTAGTAAACATTCCATTACATTAACTAATTATATTTTGGTTATTGATTGTAATACGTATTACGTAATTTACAGGATTATTTACAATGAATAAACGTATTATATCAGTAATAATTTGTGTATATATTAGCGGCAAAGTTTGAAATCCCGCATTCTATAGAATGCCTAAACATTACATATAATGCCTAAACGACAATGTATGAAACGATTCATATTTCACACATTTCCTAGACATTCTATAAAATGCCAAATGACAAACCTGGAAAGATGAAATACATCTCCGATTCGTTTCGAAGAATTGAAACTACTTATCAGAAGTTAATAAAATCATGTAAAAGAGCCAAAATTACTACCGAGAGGGAGCCACGAGACTACTGCCGGCTGAATCGCTAGGATAAATGATATTTGTGGAAAACAAAAGTACATTCATCTATCCTGTTAAAGAAAGCGTCAGTGCTATACAGTATTAAGTTACAGACACTGAGTTATTTTCCGTACCTCATGAAAACTCACTGAGTACTGGACACGGACGACGTTACAGAATGTTGAAAGAACTTTCAACCAAATACAAAAACGTTACACGTAATGATATTGAACTGTACAACCACCTTTGTGAGCCCTGCCAAAAAAAAAAAAAAAAAAAAAAAAAAAGGTACTAAAAAGGGTATTGTGAAACTTATGACTGTTTCTAAATTTAATTTCCGTTGTCAGGTAGAATTTACTGATTCCCAGTCTCAGTCAGATAGAAAATAGAAATTTACTATGTTATATCAAGATCATCTCACTACTTTTTTTACATATTTTAAATAATAGTTTTTAATGGCACGTTTTCATGAATTTTTCAAAATAATATTTGTACTTTTGAGGAATGTACGTCTTTTAAATAATAGTCTTATCATAACCCTTTTTTTTTCATACTTTACCTAAAGAGCATATTATCATTCTATAGATTGCCTAGCTATTTACATTCAACGCCTAGGGAAAGTGTGTAATAATTTTCTCATATTTCATACTTTGCCTAAAACCGTCCGACATTATATACAATGCCTAGGCATTCTATAGAATGCCGGGGCATTTCATATTTTGCCGGTAACAGATATAATATTTTTACTCTAAGTAAATGGAGTATATTTGGCTTTAAGATCAATTCGTCAGGAAGGGAAAGTTAAAAATTTGCAGATTAGCGTGAGATGATAATAGAACATGCGTATAAAGGGACACTCTACTGAACAATTTAAATATTGATTTGAAAGTAATGTTGCAGCACTATGCTGAAAACTTCCCTTAATATCCGTATTGTTGCTGCTGTTGTTACTTATCCTAAACAGTTAACTATTAAGCTAGGCCAGATCCACGAATCCAAGAACCGTCAATAAATCCAAAACTAAAGTAGGTCTTTTCAATAGGTCCTCTTTTACATGTCCCAAACAGATAAGATGTTCAAGAGTGAAATGTTCAGTATTACATTTCCTACTGATGAGGTAGATCTTATTTCTCCGATCAAATTTAAGACATTTTAGGTGTCCACAATGTTCCATTTTAGGTGCTAGCACGTCGCGCAGCAGCACCACAGGTCCAGGATTCGATCCCGGGTTAGGCAAGGTTGACTCAACCTTTCATCCCATGAGTGGGTCGATTAAAATGAGCATCAAGTTTGCTTGGGTACTAAACCCGGGGGGGGGGGGTCCTGCAACAAGCTGACTACTTGTTCAGGCTAAGATGCACAAAGCACCCGGAACCCACGGTCTAGAAAGCAGATATCATGGCACTGGCCGGCCATGGCTCTCTAAGGGCTATTTGTGCCGCCGTTTTTAGGTTTAAGTGTCCACTTAAAGAGCCTCGTCAAAGTAACCTATTGAGCTCGATTACCCCTAAAAGCATAAAAGCACCACCCGACTGCCTAACAAAGTACCGTACCAGTTTTCCATTAACATTAGTTCTTATATACCTAACTGTATCGACAGGTTATCGCCCTAATCAGAAATAAGGTTTTGCAACGACAAACTTAAATGAATACAAAATTTTATTCAGCCACAATTTGTCTTACAGAACTTTCTAGAAGGTAAATGTTTACTGTTGACTACAGTTTAGGTTACTTGCCTCTCATAAGTTTTACAAAACTGAGTCTAAAATTAAAATTTAAAAAAAAAAAAAAAAAAAAAAAATGAGACTAAACTTTACAAACAAATTCGAATATAATTCAGTTGGATGGAAGCTCACGACCACCACCCACTTTGTCTTCAAAAAATATAACTAGCAACGGGGCGTACTGGCCATAAAAGTAATGATCTTCTGTTTTACTGCAATATGAGTTATAGTTAAGAATCGTATATACATAGGTTATTAATGAAAGGCTTCCCTTATCAAATTAGAAATCCAACTCTCATTTAATAAGGTATTTCCTTTAAGTTTTGTTTCTTCAGCACTATCTGTTTTCCATTTTCAAATTGATGTATCAATTCCTTCTTTCAGACTTTAAAATATAGGGTACTTCCTTATTCAAACGGCCTCCTCGGTTATAAAATCGGAAGATTAATCGCCAGAACTGGCAATCGGTGGAATTTAATTTGTAAAGTATTTAATTTTCGGACTGTTTTGATTGCGAAGTTGTCCACGTAATATCAGCGATTCAATATTTTTCTTCCTCTAAAATTCTTACCATTTTCATTATAATCAGGTGGCAAAGAAACAGTAATTTTTTAGAGATATTTATAACGTGCAGCAATTTTATTTTCAAGTTCACTTTAGATCGCGTAATATCTTTCTTTTATTATTTTTGTCTCTAAAATACTGGCATTTCTAACCTTCTATTAAGAAGAAAATAAGCAGTTTGTGCTTTCATGCTATCATTCACTCTTTCATATTTTCGTTATATTTCCCTCACTAAATGATTAATCGTATTTAATTTATGATTAATTGAAAAAGAAGTAGTAATTTTTTTTTTCTTCAAGAACACGCAAATTTTCATACTGAGCGTAATGGTCACCAGGTGGAAAAATGTCCTTGTTCGATGATTTGTTTCATAGTTCCAGGAATTGCCTTCCCTTACTGCTTTGCTTTTCATATACTCTTAAGTTGAAAAACTAACTTCCATCAGATAGTGCAACAGACAGTTAAATATGGGTGAAAATAAAAAAAGTCTCAGTATCTGATATTATAATAGCAGCAGCGGCGGAATTATGGTCTCCATACAGAAAAATAAATGTTATTTTCCGCACATTATGCTTTTTCGTTCTTTCTTAAAAATTTTCAATTTTTCGCCAAATTCATTTTAAATGTCGCCAAATTTCACCAAAGCGCTTGCGGTGACCCTTTTAACAAAAAAGTACCCAATATAGAAGTAGTCTGAAACCCCCATCTATTCCAAAATCCGATATATATATACGTACTTAACTGCGAATATAATTTCCCATCTTTTTTTCGGACTAAATATCTTCAATCTCAATAACGATTTGCTGCATTCTGCTTTTCTGAGCTTCTTCTTAAACTTGTTTTAAATAAATTTTCACTGGGACCTTGTTCTCTTGTCTGAATAAATGTTTGTTGAATTTAATGATAAAAATATATTTATATAGTATAGTTGTATAGAAGCTATTTTTTGTTAACAACACAAATAAAACTTGACGAAAGCAATAACGTTTTGCTATCTAATTGGCGAAGCTATTGTGCGCCTTCACAAGTTGTTTTTTCTCTTTTCTTAATTTGGAAGAAGAGATTACATTAATTTAACGAAATAAATATTTCTGTTCAAATTATTATCATCTCCTATTACTAACAGCATAAATTTGCATAAAAAGTGCAAATGCCTTATTTATTTACTACTTTTTACTTAATGCCATTTAAGCCATGAAGCATTTATTTCATGTCTTAAATAATTTCTCTAAATAATGCTTTCTGTGTTGTAATAAATTAATCATATTTAATTTTAAGCAATTATGTGATTACGACTTATGATGAAAGTAAAAGTCTCTCAGATCTTTCTATTACAGGCATTTATATTATAGCAAATAAAAGGAAACCTTTGTTTAGTTACATAATTGTGTTGTGTACTGAAGTTGCTTGAAAATATACTTTCAGGTTTGTACGCAGAAATTAAATTTTCCAGTCCTGGAATATTCCAAAAAATATCCGCTCCACAACAGGACATATCCACGCACAAAGCTTGTATCTTCATGGGCTTCAAAAAATTAGACAGCCATTTCAGTGAAGTCCTAGAGGACAGCTGGAAAGACTGGACAGGGGCGCGCCTCGTCTATATGAATCTGTCGGATGAGTTTGGACTATCACGGTTGTCCTTCTACAGAAGGATGGCCCCTAAAGATGCGGACATGTTCATGTATATAATGATGGTCGAATGCGATTCCGTCACATCCAAGAACCAGATTCGGCTACTGGACTTTGTGCAGAGGTTAAGAGTGGAGAGAATGATGGGATATCTTTCTGTCTATAGAGTAGATCGCTTAGTACCTTCCACAGCCAATGTCATCAATGGTCTTCTTACTGAAGCGGTGGACAGCGCCGGGAAAGTGAACATATGACAGTTGGAACAGGTTTTAGGCCTCATAACGGATTCAGTTGCAAAATCTGACGATAAGCCCATTGCTGTGAGAATGAGAAATGCGAGTGGATAATTCAAACAGATTTTTAATGTTCTGTTACCTTCTTGCTGTAAATAACACACCGATTCTAAGCAACTGGGAAACTACAACGAATTCTCAGGCTAAAGATTGAATAATCCATCTTTTTTAAAGAATTTAATTTAAACGCTTGCGCGGATTACAGCAATAAGAATACTTGAAGTTTTGATGAACAATCGAAAAAGGATTTTGTGTTAACTATTCCGAGAATTAATTAAAATTAAGTGCTGCAATTTCTCTAAATTATTTAAGTAAGAAATTTACTTGTATCTACTTCCTTATGAAATACTTAAAGCACTGTGATGAAACAAGTGAAAATAAAAATGATCAAAGTGGTGAAACAATATAGCATATTTAGATGATTGCATAAGCGCTGGAATAATAGCAAATTTTCTTCAAATGTAGACCATTTAGTGACCTTTTAAATTGGAAGCATTCTTACAGCACAGAACAAAATAAATGCCTAAACTGGGTATCTAAAGCTTTATATTCTTCGCTAGCAAATCTCTGCCTAGAACTTCTCTACTTTTACTGAATATCTCGATAAAATAAAAGTCTCTGCTTAGAATATTCTTATTCATCTATCAGAATTAAAAGTGAGATATAGGAAATCTTTTTGAAAATTTTATCAACACAGCACTTAGAATAACAGAATTTTTGCTAGCTTTCATATTTCTCTACTATGTACGCCTTATATTAGTAGTAAATTAGGGCGGTTATTAAGAGCACATTTTATAATAAAGTGCAGAAATTTTACTAAGGTACAACTTTTACTGTTTCTCCAATAAACTGTGAAGAAATTTACAGCAAACATTACATGAAAAAAAAAAAAAAAAAAAAAAAAAAAAAGAGAGAGAGAAGGACTACTGCTATATTCTTCCATTTATTCCCATTTGTTAATACTGAACTGTGGTGCCCGCTTTAAGTGAGAGAAAGAATTTGGATGTTTTTACTGAAGATATTCTAAAAGAGCTTGTGATGCAGAAGTGATAGAAGTCGGCTCACATCAATGGAACTTTGCATAAAAAATTTCTCTTCCTTCCTTGTGTATTAGTGACATATATACGTATTCCATATCTGTACTACCTTTTGTAAAACCACTTTCTTTCATTCCGTATACTGCTGAAAAAGAAATGCAGTCAAACCTCAAGAGTACGTAACTCATGGAACTGATTATATGTTAAGCATTAAGCTGAAAGATTTTCAGAGCAGATTGAAAAAAGATTTGAAATGATCTTTAAAACTTCCTCGAACAGAAAATTTATTCTAGATATTACTCTTCTCCTATTAAAATATTTACTGTTGCCAATTTGTAAAACAAAATATTTATTATTGAAAAAAAGTAAATTAAAACTCTAAAAAATTTTAATTTTAAAGATTGTAAAGTCTATTTCTGCATTTCTTTTTTGTGCGTAAAGTGGTAAAAGCAGAAGAATATGAAAATGTTATACACGTTAAATTACCATTTAAAATAAAATTGTCAAAACAAATATAGAGAAAGACTTGCAATATCTATACTACAAAATTTTATCACAACCATTCGATTTTGATTAGTATAAAGACGATATTGGACACAAATTAGAAATTTTGCAATCAGTTATTTATAGATTGCTAAAAATCTATTTTGTTTATGACACAAATGATACAAAATTGCATTTGTTAAAAAACTTTGTTTAACAATTCAGGTAAAATTACTTTTTAAAAGATTAGTGACAATTTCCCATTAGCGATGGCATAAAGAAATAGTTTGTTGAAAAGCCTGGAAAGTCGCTAAACGTTTCTGCCAATTTCGCGCTGGGTTAAAATCAAATAACCGTTCGAGATTAAAATATAGTCGGAAAAAACTAATCACCTTAAATTCATTTCAAGTCAAATATTATATTCCCTCTACATTTACATGTTTTCTAAGCACTTTCATAAAACGTTAATAAAGGCGAAAATATATATGCATACTTTTTAATAATTTTTCTATAGCAGTTAAAATCTAAAATATTGCAAAATAGGTGACTATATAATTTTTGAATTGTTGTTCTATTTGAACTCAACCTGCAAAGAAAACATAAAAAACATGGGGATTAATTTTTCTTCTTTCAGTTTCAAATATTTGATGCAAATATCAAAATAGCTTTGTTTTGTCATTTCAATACAATATTTAATTTATTATAATTTCACATTTTGCCCCCTCTCACAGCATAGCTCCACATGTATTATCAATAAATAATGTACCATAAATTATTCTCTTAAATTGCAAAAATATTATCCTATTAATAAAGTGGAAAATCAAAAATGAAATCATAAAATAAGAAATAAATATGAAAACAATAAAACATTTTATTTAAGATACATCAACAGGGTAACTGCAACATACAACTGGGTAACTTTTATAAACATTATAGAACACTGATAAGTTGCATAAGCCAACAAAAATATAAGCTATGCAATGCATATTACATACATACTTTTCCCAATATGCATATATACACTATGGGTCAACTTTGAAAAAGTGTCTTACTTTACTTAATCTCAACACTACACATTTTCTGTTAAGTACAACACTGTACAGCATTAGACACCGATACTGCTTTCAAACACAATCTTTACATAAAATTATATCACATATTGAAGTTTAGATTGTACATCAACACCAATATGCAAACCGAAGGTTTCAGATATGGGCACCACGTTAATAACAAATAGCACCAAACACATTATAAATTTAAAAATAATCAACTGTAAAAAAAATCTAATACATAGTTTTATTTAGAAGTAGAAGAAAGTCAAAATTATTTTATTAATTTCATATTTCATAAGCATTGTACATAAAACAGATTATGTCAAATAACAAACTGCCCTTATATGCTAAACCAGTTCAATGGACATTAATGATAAAAACATTAATGAAATGTAATTATATTCACATTCTCAATTTCATAAAATATGATTTTTATCACTTTTTAATTATTCTGCCCAGCCAAAATTGCACAGAATTTGTACAAGAGATCTGTGAAACATAATACATTATGAGCATTAATACTACTTAGTGAATGTTGCAAATTGTTTTAAAATGTAAAGAGGAAAAAGTATCTAAAATACATTTTAACAGCTTCCATCATAATTATCAAGAATTCAGAAATATTTAGCATTTTTTTCATAAATTATCCACTAGAATTAAATTACCTTTGGACAAGACTAATGAGATATTCAAGGCAACAATTTGGCAGTTACTGTTGAAAGTTGGCACAATTTTGAATGTCAAACAATATTTTATAAATAAAATTACACATTATATTCATTTCTAATATTTTCAAACTTCTATACTGGAATACAAAATAATTTTCTAAAACAGATTGACTTAAATAAAGCATTAGCTAGTTTCTCTCAATTATATTTCAGCATCAATTTCACTTCTGGAAAATTCTCAAACAGAAACCCACACAGAAAACTGTTAAAAAGATCATAATGGAATGAAATTTGATACAGCCCTACATAAGAAGTGATATAATTTTAAATTAAAATTAGCTGATCTTTATTTAAAAAGAAACTTAAGTATCTCACGGAAAATATAAAATTCCTGCATCAGCTTACTGTTATCACACATATACATACAACGCTTCCTTGGATATACACAATGCTCCCACCACTTTTTTAGCCTAGAAAATTCTTGATTATAGTCCTTCATCAAATACTGAGCAATATTAGGCACAACTTCATTTAATTGTTAAAGATAACAATATATAATGCATATTATACATTAAGTGGCATTGTAAAATGTTAATTATTTTTAGCAAATGTAAAACAAATGAAAAGCAATGCAAATATTTAATAAATCATTTTTCGATGGCTACCAAAAAATTCAAAGATGTAATTGATATGGAAGAAATAACTGAAATATAACTGGCCTAAGGAAGTAATATTCATCTTACCCATAATTTATTGAGCTTGAATATAAATTCTGAAAGACAGAGCAAAATCAAATCTTTCCAACACTTCAGAACAAACATTTTCTAAACAAACTTACTTAAAATACTCTCCAGAGCAAATCAAAGGTATTTGTAGAATGTTCACTGCACATATATCACCTTGACATGACTACTTTGTTTCTAGCCATTACTGGTGAATAATCATTCAGTGTAAAAGTATCTTTCAACCACAGATGAATAATTATAGCAAAAGTCAGATATAATTCCCTATAAGAAAACCTCAAATATAGAAACAAAAAATAAGTTAAACAGATTTAGCAATATAGCAAGATATGTAGAAGTTGAGTTTTATTTTCTAGTCTGATAAAAACAAAAACAAAGTTAAGAAAATATACTTAAAATTATTCTGATCTGTTGAACTACAGAGGAAATTCATAAGATAAATAATTCCATGTTCATAGTTCATTGCATACATACAAATATTTGGAGAATATTTTCTCTAAATTTTGTTTTTATATATTTTGTTTTACGTCTAAATTTTGTTTTTATTATTTTATATTAAAATAAATTTTCTTATTTCCTTCTTGTATGATTGTTTAAATTTACAATACTATTTTTATATCACTACTTATTTTCAAAAACTGAACTTGTAAGAATAAAAAAAAATCACAAGTACAATTATTTTTATGCTGCATTTTGCATAAATTACATCTACAGCATATGAAAGATTATCATGAATTTCTCCATAAGAACTGCTTAGAAAGCTTGAAAAACAAGTGTGTGTGTACTATAATGTGGAAACTTTTGTTATCCTTCTGCACAATTTCAAAGCAATGACTCTTTATGACATCAGCGAGTAAAATTGAAATCATGATAAAATAAAATTGCCTCTGACAATTCACAAGAAGAAACAAATGCATGGTTCATAGCACTTGCACTATTAATTAAATATCAGATATTAATAGAGCATATTTTGTTTGAGCTTTGTGTGATATATAAGGTAATTTAGGCATGGATATGATTTAAAAATAAAATTTAGTTTAAATCTTGTTCACAATTTTAAATACCATATATACATATATTTTATTTTCTTCTAATGACATAATAAAATGTTGTGTGATAAAAAGAACTTTTATTATACATAAATATACTATATCGAAAGAAGAGATAAAATGTGCAGAATTAATATTAACTAAGAGTGGTAAACTAACAAGAAAGTACAAAATAAAAATAAATGTCCAATTACTTTTTATGTGTCTATCCTGTTTAAATAGTTTACTGCTCTTGGTTGACATAGTTCCACACATTTTATTTCTTTCTTAATCAACTAATTTTGCAACATTTTATGTGATATTAATAATATCTATTAATTAAATATTCTTCATTTTTTGTTATATATATGCACACATATTAAAAAAAATAAACAATTTATACAAAATATTTTAAAATATACAGGCAACCATATTTTAAAAAGGAACTTACATGGTACAAGACAAAAATAAATCGAAATATATAAAAACTTTTTTTTTCCTTTCTCTCTCTGAAACTTAATAAATCAAATCAATTGTAAACTTTTACTTAAATTTCATGCAGAAATTTTAATGAAAATAATACATGCAACGATTTTAAAATATTTACAATTAAATGAATTTTGTAGAAGCAAAAGAAAAGCAATTCACAATTATAGCACATATTGACTAGTACAGCAGCAATGATTTCAGTATTTAACTCATAACACTGCAAGTGTATTATTGCACAGAAAACATACAGTGCAATAAAAATACAGCATTGTTCATAATTCTCAGAAACATTTTAAAAATTAGTAAGATGCTATAAAACTCATACAAAATTTTATTACACTGGGAAAAAGGTAAACACATTAAGTTCTCCCCCCCCTTAAATAATCCACAAACACTCAACACATCAGATTTGGATTCATTTGGATACATTTAGCTATACTGATACATCAGACATTATTGTATTACTGGAATAATTTCTTTGGACTTATTAAAGCTATAGATGCATAGTCAAATGAAAAAACTTTTGTTATCTCTTTCAACAACACAGTTGTCTAGTTTACTAATATGCAGAACATTAGAGGGATTCTTTGAAAAATGATCCCAACCAAATGTACAAAATCAGAAATGCATACTTAATGTAATGGTCATCAAAGTTTTTGAATTTTGCCTTATATGACTTTTGCTTGGAGATGTTTGTCTTTCTGGTAATTTGTTATTTTTAGTATAACAAAATTTGGTACAAGCCATGTATTTTATTTGTTGTGACTTTTTTAAATGTTTCACAAACTGATGAATAACGCCATATGATAAATTAATGAAACTTCACAATTATCAAATTAACTATTATTCAAGATAAGCCACTTTAATTACATAAAAGCATACTGTCAGAGATAAGTAATGCAGTCAAAATGATCACAAACAAGAAATTCAAGTTATAACAATGCAGCTGTCATATTATTGGAATATATACATATACATACTGATACAAATGAGACAAAGGCAGCAAAAAAGATAATAATCACATATAGAAAAATACATTGAGCGCCATATTAGTTACCTACATGACTAGAGCAGGTAATAATCAAAGTGTTTCTCTGTTGTGTCAAGAGAAGTGAACTAACAATAAAATATCACAATAAGGTATGAATAACCAAAGCTAAGTCTATCTACAAAAAATAAATAAAAAAGCACTTGCATTAAAAACAAATCTTCTTGAAAGTTTGATACTTTTCATTTGGTGCATTAAAACAGGTCAAGTTCATACAAGTCAAATTTATCATCACATTAAAAAATATACTATTTTATAATAATTTGTAATTCTATTATTTAATATTTACACCAAGCAATAAAGCACTCCTCCTAATAAAAAATTAATTCCCCAATTTGTAAGATCATTTTCAAAAATTAGAGAAAACATTTATTGAAAAAAATTAAAACTTAATTAACAATCACAGAAAATTGTAGTTCTTTAGGGTAGAAAAAAAGCAAAAGTTTTGGGCTCAGTGTGCAGTTATGTCAGTTATTTCAAAATAGTAGTAATGCAAATAAAACTACACACATACAATACACAAAACATTAAAAAACAATAATTTATTTGCTTAATTGTAAGATAAGTAAATTTTTTGAAAAGATCTTTTTTAACTCTTAAATGGATATAATTTTGAATTTATATTCCTGAAACAGTTAAAGCCTATTTCCTTTCTCTCTCTTTTTTTTTTCAAGTGACACAGGTCAACAGAAAATTATGAAAATATAATTGCATATATATACAGATGCATACAGTAAATGCTAAACATTACTACAAACAACATACTAACTAATAAATATAAGGAGTTAAACAGTAAAAGTAATAGCAGATAACAGAGTAACATTTATCATTATAATAAAACATACAATTTTAAAATGCATATTTCATACTTCAGAAAATTATAAAACTCTTCAAATAAGTATTAAGCGCTTCATTAGAATGGTTGTGACATTTTATTTTTTTAATCACTTTTCACACAGTACCCAATACATCAGACATTATTGTATTATAAGTAATGCAGTCAAAATGATCACAAACAAGAAATTCAAGTTATAAAAATGCAGCTGTCATATTATTGGAATATATACATATACATACTGATACAAATGAGCACAATTTATTCAGCTATTAGTAGCCAAAGAGAAAAACAACATTGGAAAGGAAGGTACATTCAAAAAACTCTTAAATCCAACACAAACAAATTTGAATGGAAATTTCACTCGTATAATAAACGTTAGCATATATAACATAAAAAATAGACACAAGAAATTAAATTTAAAAGAAAATAAAACTAGGGACAAGTACATGCAAGAAAATTCCAGTAAATCAAACACAATCAGATGAAATTCAATGAAGAGATTTTTGAGTGGAAAATTTAATCATTATTTTGATAAGCTTGATCTATGTAAAAATTCCTTTGCCAAGAATATGGCTGATACCTATATGTAAAGGTGCAACATGAGCAAATAACTGTAAACATGATTTAAATTTCTTGTACAAGAAGAAATTAAAGATGCTTTATTTAATAAAATGTATATTCTTAGTACAAAGAAATGAAAAAATGCATCTAAACATGAATGTCTAAACATATTTTTCTGAAAATATTCAATACATGAGATTCAAAGATGAAAATTTTGTTCATATTCAATGCTACATATTAAGACATAAAGTGCTATGTAGAGGAGAGGTTTTATCAGTCATTCATTCAGAGACATTTAAAATGGTGACTTTGAGCCATTTCAATCCACAACAAAACTACATGATTTGTAGGCTTTCTCAAATAAAAAATGAATGAGAAAGTTATTTTAAAGCAGTAAAAAACATTTAAAAGTTTCATATTTGATTCATAAAAGACAACAATTTACTCTTAACATTTTACTGAAATCTTGAAATTATACTTTAAAATTAATGATGAAAAAAGTTTTTTCCCCCTTTTTTCCTTTTTTTTTTTTTTCATATAAACAACTGAATACAAAGAGTTACAAATTAAAATAGTTATTCTAATGATGACACAAAAGCTTTCAAAATAAAGTGATAGTAAATAGTTTGGTAATATTTGAGAATAGAGTAAAAGATGCAATTTTAAAATACATTATTTATATTTCAGAAAATTAGAAACCTCTTTAAATAAATATTAAGCACTTTGTTAGGATGGCTGTAGTTTTTTTAAACCACTCTCCACACTTTTTGTTCAGCTTTTAGTAGCCAAAAAGAGGGGGCAGGAATGAGAGAAGAATCAAAACCTTTACATTTCATTCTGTATATACTTTTATCTATGATGTCAATATTTGATTAACAAATTGTTCCCTTTCCTATTCATATTTTGCATATATTTCAGATTATATGGCTTAGATATAATTATTAAGACTTCTTTCTACTGTGTTATCATTATTTTTCAAAAATGGGTCAAAACATAAATCTTACAATAGGTTATCTGTAACAATATCAGTTATATTTTATGTGCATATCAACGCTGAATCAAAAGCTAATGATTTGATGAAGCTGCTAAAATTCTTAACAAAATTTAAAGTCAATAAAATTCTAACCAATTTACAGAAAAGACACTAATTTGAATTATAATCTATGACTTTATTTTATGTATTTATTACAAAACTATGATATTGCATTAAAAATTTAATTTAGAATGAACTATCATATTAAGATAAATTATTGAAACAGCACTAATAAAGCAGCAATGACAAATTCACATAATATCATTTAATATAATAATCAGACAAATAAATTAAGACAAGAAATTAAAAAATTTTGGAACTTATAACCACAACTTTTGACATAACTAAGAAAACTACATTTCTCTTCTTTAAAAAAATGCTGCTTCAAATTCTAAAAGAATATTATAATAATTGCTTGAACATATGCACTGATATTTAAGTTAAAAATAAAAGTCAATGATTCCCAATATTTCAACATTGATTCTGTCTAAAATGATATATCAATCCCTCCATACATTTACATTCATTCACACAACTTGTGTACAGAAGTGACAATATCTTTGCTTTATATGATATATTCAATGACACACACAATACAGCTACACAGAGAAATTAAAATTATTTAAGTAGGAATGAATAGATGATGATTGGAATGATTATTAAGAAAAATCAATGAAAAGTGGCAAATCTAATTATTTAGATGTATTGTATAGTAGTTAGAAAAATAAGAGTCATTTTACCCACTAATCTATAAAAATATGCCCCACTCAGAAGAAAATTATTTTCAAGACTTGAAAAATCATGAATACTTATCAAGCTTACTTGAATATTTCTCATTTCATTAGTTGAAGAATGATATTAATTATTTATCAAAGCATAACTTATATTCAATATAATTTTCTTGAAAAGAAATTATCCTTTACAATTTTTACTTTCTTTTTACTAAACAGTATGCTAAATTACAATGGAACTTTAAACAATTGTTTAAAATTAATTTCTCTTACTTTAAAAGTTAGCATTAATAATCTTCCTAGTTATTTACAATTTCATATTTTACTGAACATACATAACAACAAATAACAACATTTGAGCAAATTTTATGCAAGTGTGTTTATATTACATAAGAAAAATTCCACTGAACTCATTATGATAATTATTTTCAAAATAATCTATGCAATCTCAAAGAAATGCATTTTTTTGAATGAAGTATGATAACATATTGAAATCTATTAAAAAAGAATAAAAAATTAAAATGACAGTTCATCAGGTCGAGGTTGCGCTTGTGCACTGGCTGGCCTTAGTTCAGATACATATTCTGTTTCCACATTAAGTAGAGATATAACCTGAAATAACATAAAATATTACTAAAGAATATTTTTTTTAAAAATAATTTATAAACCTATTGAAAATCTTGATATATTAATACTCATAGCAATACTTGATTCTTTATATCATAGCTGTCCCCTTAAACTTTACTTCCTGAATTTTTATAATGACTTTGTTTACATATAACAAGCAAATACATACAGAAAAAAGTATAACTGCTCCCTATTTTCTTTAATTTACTATGAACTTAAATTATTTAATACACTACTTATCAAGTTAAAAACAATGATTACTCATATTTAATTATAAAAAGATAATTCTAATATTTAAGGCTGATAATTATCAAATGAAATGCTAAATGCTCTGTGATAATCAATTGAAAATGCTTGAATGAAGAGGAAAATATTTTATTTTAAAGAAGGATAATAGTTCATATATAACAAAAACTGAGAAAAACCTCTTCTTCCAATAGGCAAACCTTACTATTATTAGTTTTAGAGAAATGTGCTCTTACTTGCTTAAACTTTGCCCTAATTTTCAAGAGTTTACTGACTGCATCATCATCTTGAATATTTGTGTGAGGGAAGCTCTCAGTCATTTCTTGCAAAGATTTAAGTGCATTTATTTTTCTGAAAGAAAAAAAAAACTTGAAATTTAATTTTCGATTATATATTATAATTATGACAGCAAGCTTAAGACTAAGAATTAATTCCATACTTATTAACAATATAACAGAAATAGACATAAATATCATAAGAATTTAAAAATTAAATTTTTTCAAAAAAAATTAAATTATTAAACAAATTAACTACTGTGATAGGCTGAAATATAGAGAATTAAAGTTCAGTATAAAATTTAGCATTTGGCATACTTTTTTTAATAAATCATTGTTTGCATGTAAAAAAAATTATTTTCTACAAGTACCTGAACTTTGGTAAACAAAGTCTGAAATCCGGACGTCCATCATCCGGAACGATCTAAAATCAGGACCTTAAAAAGACCAACAGCGTTTTCTCGTAGGCTTTATGCATGCATATCTGATCCCCCCTCCATGCATAATGAAACATCTGGAGAGTCCCAATTCTTATTTTCACTTCGAAACTAAATAAAATACTTTGTTATTGAAGAAACAATCATTTTAGCATAAATTTGTATGATCAGTAATTTGGCTCTGTTGCTGCATATCTGCTTGGCATACATGTCAAACCAAAATATTTCACATACATACATCGTTGATTTGATGCCAACCAAAATGTTAACGAGGAAAAATTCACCAAAAATTTCTTTCCATAAGCTAAAAATAGATTTTGTTGATGATACTCATAGACCCAAAGATTACATTTAGGGCTATTTGAATTGAGAATAACTGATTTGTTTATTCACATAAATCCAGAAATAGCACCAGGGCTCATATGGTCGCACCGACAAAGAATGGCACCGGGTCGCAGAATTTAGGACCCACAGAGACATCATCAGGTGGTAAGATATCTAGCACCAGCTCTCAATAATGCTTAAGTATATGTGGGAATTTATTTATTCAGAACTCTGATAAGCCTTAAGCATGTGCAAGAAATAGACATAAATATAACAAATAAATAAACAAATACAATTCAGGCTTAATTGTCCCAGTGTGCGATAGAAGCAAGATAAAATTTAACAGAACAACTTGTCGTTAGTTCCCAAGCTCATGGTGCATAGCCCAATATGTATAGTGAAAGATAGCTAAATTTGATGATGATAGCTGCATAGCTGCTACTTTTAAAGGTTTTCGGATTCGCAAAACAATGATGAAATTTTCCAATTAACAGATTTTTTAAAGAAATGTGGAAAGTGGTAATAAATGAAGATGGATAAAGAAGTTTTTCTTTGATGACCAATGCTTCTCAATCATCAATCAATTAAGCATCGCCAAAATCTGTAGTATGGATATAATCCAGAAAATACCCTACCGATAGTGAAGAAAGTGACAGAGATTACCTGAAAATGAGAAAATTTGATTGAGTAGTCGGCGGATTCTCGAAAACAGCAGTTACAGACTTCAACAATGTAACTAAAAAAGAGATTATCTCTCTTACAGAATTAAAGAGAAAGTATTAGCACGAAAAATGAAGCAACCTAAACAACTTACATTGAAAGAAATGTTTAATAAGGTAAACAAATAAATATGAAGCTTTTTTTTAAAATTTTGATACCCTTTAGATCATAAATACTTCATTATTTTATAAATCACAATTTTATATTTTTAATGTTATAATTTCTACATGCCATCTTACTAGATTTAAACTGATGATCTAATACCAGGAAAAATCCCAAATCCGGATTCGCCGAAGTCCCGATGAGTCCGGATTTCACACTTTGTACTGTAGTTTCATATTCATAGTTTTCACTTAAATCCTTGGGTATCCCTTTTACTTTGATTGGTTTTACTTGGGTAATTGAATTATTTTGAAGTAGCAGAAATCAACTAACAGTAAACTGAATATGTATCTTTATGAACATTTGTAGTACCTGTAGATATGAACTAATGAAGTCAGAATTTCTGTATCAAAAATGAAGCAAGATAACATGAAAATATTCACTTAATCAAGTTTTAAAAGCATTCTGCATATAGATATGAAATAGCAGCAGTTCAAACATAACATTATATAGATGGTAAAAAAATGATGACTAACATTACATAGCAGGTAAAAAAAAAAAATATTACATAGATGGTAAAAAAAAGAGGTTAAAAAGAGACAAGATTAAACAAAGACCTTATTTAACCCCTTAACTGCCACGGAAAACGTACAAAATTCATTTCCCAGTGCCACGGTTTTTCACACAGGCGCACGTAGTTATGCTATGCATTAGGGGGAAAATAAGTGCAAGTTTTACTTTCTAAAAACTGTTTACTTTCACAAAATAAAGAATAAAAGAAAAAAAAAGAAATGCACAATAATGTTTGAGTTAAAGTATATAAAAGATTGTAAGTATAATAAAATGATGTTGTAAACGAAAAAGATCCCTAAAATGGAGTTTCGATCAATCATTTTTAGACCAGTAAAGTGTAATATCAGGTTTTAGTGTTATACCTAAGAAATCAGTATGCCTAAAAAAACATATTTTCTTCTGAACCGGTTTGAATGCCACGATTGTTCTTGATTTTGTTTTCAAAGTGTTGGTGCATATACTCGTCTACAAAATGGTTAGTTTCAGTAACAATATGAAGCACGCGAGTTCATAAAAAAAAATAAAAAAATAATAAATGGTTTGAAACATCCCTTATATCTTCTTTATTCCGGAACCTACTACAAAAGAAAAACGAAAACAGAGGACAAGAATTAAAAAAAAGGAACGTTTTGCTCAAACAACACCTGCCAATACCAAGCAGTCATTACTTTCATCCCTTTAGACACACCCCTCCCTCCATTTTCTCCCCACACTTCTATGAAATAGTATTCTCCTTCGCATACTTTGTCAAGGTCATTGTGGTGTTGCATTCCAAAACTTTGCGAATAATTTTACAGGTAGCAGGGCAAAGCAAATGATAGTATTTTGGAAGGGCGTATATATATGCCCGTGGCAGTTAACACATCGGCTGAGCAAGGCGTATATATATGCCCGTGGCAGTTAAGGGGTTAATGCGAAAGCGTTTTTGAAGGAAATAGTATATCAGTTCGACAACCTGCATGCTTGACTAATGGCTTTGCTAAATTGCAGGTGTGCATATCCTAAAACACAATCTTACCATACGACAAAACCATCTCATTACGTTCATTATTCATGTATCTTTACATTTCATTTGTCAGCAATAAAGGAAAAGGAGAAACTGGAACAGTTCAGCATGTTTATATCTTTATTAAGTTAATACCATTAACCATATGGTATTAAGTTAATACCATAAGTTAGTCATTATAATTTCAGACTGAGGAATAAATCCTCAGAGGGGAAGCCAAAAGATAAAAAGATTCTTGCTATTTCATAATGTCTGTATATATGCATCAACAACATATACACAGCATCAATGGGAATTATAACAAATTAAAATACAAAGGAATAGCTGGATTCATAGAAAATATAAAAGAACATATTACACGATGGAAAATCAAGAGTGCACAAATGGAACTACAAGAAAATTTGACTATTTATATATGTAGAAATATGGTGTGAGGTACGATTATTTAGAAAATATTTCTGATTTCATGGAAACAAAAAAAACAAAAAAAGTAATCATCAGATATGTGTAGAAGGTAATTATCAGATTAGAGAAGACAGGTTCAGTAAATCATCAAATTATGACGATTGCTAACACAGATTAGACAACATTTTTAACAAAGATTGTTATTATGATAATTACTAACAGACATTAGGCAGATTTTTGTATTTGAAAATATTGTCGTAAATATCTGTAAAGACTTAAATCCTTATGCATTATTGTAATATTGTGTATTTTTTTTTCTTTTAGGATTTACTTTGTGTTTTGCTAAATTTGTGGCTATATGTTTTGTATATAACTGTTTTTATATATGCATATAGAACTGTAGCTCTTTCAATTGTGAGTCTAACAATGTAAGAATTATAAAAATAGCTCTGTGAGATAAGGGCAAATACACTTGTTTCAGGTCTTGCAATATTTAATGATATTTCACCACTTGCAGACTTTCTGGAAGATTTGGGAAAACACATTTTCAAAGCATTACAATTGATTTTTGGTGAAGCTTCTAGAAGTCCATGCTACACTATATAATTGTGAGACAGCCGGAGAATTAGCAGTTATTCAGTTGTGAAAGTTGGCTATTAAAGGAGAGTTACATGAATTGCATTTTCAAGTTTACCTGAGTGATTTGGAGTACTTAAGGTATTTCTTTTGCAATAAGATGGAATTGCATAACATCCACATTCTCCTTCAGCTAGTCTTGTACTTATTTACAGTACTGTGTTTCGTGAATTTTTTATAATAAAGTGTCAATTTCTTCCTGCTTATTTGGAGTAATTATTTATGGAGATATCAATAAACTTGCAGCCTGGAAAAATATATTTATCAAATACATTTACAAATGATTACTCAGTCATAAAATATTTTGTTAGAATCAGTCAACAAGTCCTTGATATCACATAATTTAAGGTAATCATACAAACTCCCGTTATATATAATGTATGATGCATTTATGATAACTCTATTTATTTATTTATTTTATATACATAACTTGCAGCCTATAAATTTCAGTATTAGAAATTAGAGCAAATTTGTAAGAGACATGGCTAAAGATTAGAAGAAGAGTAGCCCTGTAAAAATGCAGTTTCCTGGTGAGACTGCAGTTTTTAATTTTTGCTTAAAATTGTTCAGAGGTGTTTTTAACATTCCTGGCATAATGCTTAACAAAGTGCGCAAATATTTGAATGAATCCTTCATTCATAATTACTCCAAAATAGTTTGTCTTTTTGACTTCTGCATCTATTATCTTAAACAGCTCTTTCTCTATGTGATGCTTTTCCTTTTTCTGATACTGTATTTATTTGAAAATATGGACTACCTTTTTTTATATATATAATTTTATTCTAAAATTTAGTATGGCCTAATAATTAGTTACCTTGATAAGCGAAATTACAGAACTTCAGGAAGGAGTTTATCATATTACACAGAATAATT